ATTTTACCTGCGGGAATTAAATATTTAAAAAAATGCAAAACAAAATGTTACACAACTTTGAATTTACAGAAGCTGCGTANAATCAATAACGTACGTTTAACATACTTCAAACAGAGAATGTATCTAACCTGCATCGTTGTGGTTTCAGTAGGAGTTTCGATCACGAAAGAGTTGTTGCTTCAGGCACAAAAGGTAACCTCGATTTGATGCGGATAAGCAGACAAAACGCATTTTATAAAGTCCCTGGTAGCCACGTCAGAGTTTTAACATTGATTATGCGATCAAATCACATTCGATGGTAATTTATGAGTTGTCTCACGAGAGCAGTTGAATTATAATTCAGGAAGGTATCATGCTCACCATTAATTATGATCTATACGAGTCGTGATTGACTAGGATACAAGTTACCGAATCTCTAATGGCCTCCTTATTCACTTCACACATCAAGGCGACGACAGGCTCATACCACGTAATATTTTCATTAAAAACACCGACAAATGAAATTTTTCAGATGCATGTTGGAAGAACCTGAGAAGCGTCTTCAATTCAGAGGCGATTGTGTCAGTTCTCTTTCATCACTGTGGCTAATCGATTCTTATCCGATTGGATATTGAATACACTCGGCAGTCTCAAATTGTTACCATCGACCGACAAGACATCACTAAGGAAAAAAGAGGCGTATTGCTTCCATGTTCAGTGCAACCAAATCATTGTATTCATTACGTTAATGTGATTAAAAAATTGAAAATTTGCAATATCGATTTGCCTGTGAAACAAAATTTAGTTACAACCGTAAAATATCCTTTAGCAGTTAGGGGAAGTTCACCATACCAAAAACTCCTATTTACATTGTAACTAAACAATGTGACGCGCGCGCGCCTAGGTGTCTGTAACTAAACAATGACGCCTAGTTGTCTGCCCAAGGGTCCAAGCACTCGGTTTAAAGTTATTCTGGTTCTGCTTGGCCACCCGATCGCAATCAGTGACTAGTCAAAATCTCCTTGCCGACTTTATAATTTCATCAGCGTATTGCGAAGTTGGCTTGGCCAAGTCTAACAAGCCTGCAAGCTGCCCAAGGGCAGCACTGCAAGCCCAGCTTAAAGCGTAAGACACTGAGTAGAAGACTCCATGACGTTCCCATAACGTTCCAGGGCGAGCTTACTCGAAACCTTTAATTAAAACTACATGAACCCAGTCTGTGCCCATCCGCTTGCTTAATGCCACACTGTTCGTTTGTTATTCGTTGGCATTCGTGTTTCTGAACCGCTGTTTTTTTAGTAAGGTTTTTTTCTACATAAGGAAAAATCGCAATCATCTACAGTTTTCCCGAAATACAAGTAAAGATTTCACTGCAGCGAAACAAAGTGTTGATGCATTGGATAACATACTATTTATTATGAGAAAAGTATTCATTTATGACGCTATAAAAGTAAACGAAAAAACAAATATTCTGCATAGTCGAGATAAGAAAATTTCATTTATTGTCCACTGTCGTCAGCATCCAATTTTCTGTTGCTTACAATGAATGTTCTTAACGTGTCGTCGTTGCACGCTGCGATGAGGCTCTGCATGATCACGAATCATTTCGGCCAGGGTTCGAGCTCTGAGGGTGAAAAACGTCGTTCTTACACCGGACTGACCATAAGGCAAATGTAATATATCTCTTTAAAAACTCTACCCAATAACCCATGTCGCTTGCACTGCCATGCTGGGTAAAAAAGGCAGTGCACTGCACTGGGGAAACAACGACCGAAGTTCCGTGCATTTATATCCGCCCACGCATTCATAGATGTCATACTATGCACCAAATCTCGATAAGCGTCCTATGAATATATTGATATTCATATTGATATTGAACGTCCTAACATATATTGATCTGAGTCGATAAATAATGTTTTACTTCAACTGTAACAGGACTTAGATTGCGCTACTCATACTGGACCGCAGAAAAATGGGAGTCTTGCGCAAGCCCTGCGGTTTCTTCTGCGTACCCCGAGTTTCAAACATGTGAATGTTTTCCCAGCATTTATATTCAAGATAATGATTTGAAACTGACCTTTTATTACTCGAATAAACGTTAAGCTTACCTAGGATTGATTTATAATCTGAATTCATGCGATGAATGATGAGAAAAGTAATAAAAGTTTCAGAATTATACAAATTTTAGTCATTATTGTACAATTGGAAACGTATTTTTATTAGCAAAGTATGACCCAGACAGCTTTGCGTTACCAGAAAAGTATACACTAAACTTTGAGTTCATGAATGAAATCTTGCCCCTTAACCGACTTGTCGGTTAAGATGAGATTGTACACAAACGGAATTTAGAGCCGGGCGCAACTCTGAAATAGGGAACGCCTAAGGCTCGGGGAGCACGTAAATTAGCTCATGTCCATCATATTGTCAACTTTCCGATCCCAAGACGGACAGCTACGAGAGTCTAGTCCCGTCCATAACGGCCACTGAGCGGTTCGCATGTAGTACGTCCCCGTATCCGGGGCAGCTCTGGCCGAGCCTGGCAATGTGAAAAAATTGCCTCCCCTCTCTCCGCAGTGAGAGGAATTTAAGGGAGGGAGCAATCGAATTCATACGGGATTGATTTTCAATGCCTCTTTCTGCAACCAGCCGAATACTAAGAGCATACTTTGAAATTTAGAATCGTGGGTAATAATGCTCGTGAAAAGATACATTTTTACCTCACTATCAAAAAACAGTGCAAGAAGTTACCGACAATCAAATATTGTAACCCGAACAACAACAGTGTCCACGATCGCTTCAAACTCGCCATGGTCTTTGACACGAATCTGATACGGCGCTTATTTCGCTCTGGCAACCGGAACCTAATTAAGCGGACATAGGGCCGCTAATATACGCGCTTTAGGCGAGCTTGACGAGTCTTTTAGCCAGCGGCTGACAGGAATACAAATTTTGATAGGGTCCGAAGATCGGTGGGTCTTGTCACGAACACCAATAGTGGGAATTGTAAGACCCTCCCCTGTTGTCTTAAGGAGCAAGGCTTTGGCTAGGCGGATTCGAAACTCCAATTACAAGTTGAATTCAAATGTATTAAAGATAAGCAAACCATATCAACACAAATCAGAACGGATTATCTTTACTAACGGATGCGAAATAATTTACTAAGCACGTTAACAAATTAGACCCTGAACGAATATTAGCAAATCGTACGCGATAGCTAAAAAATCGAATGAGCGGAGCGGAGAACTAGTGCAAGGAGACGCCTGTCGGTGACCACCACTGCCGTGTTTCGAATGGATTATCATGATCCCTTCCCTGAAGAACGTTGCCTACAACACTTCTTGACTGTCACATTATCAGCCGCACGCCACCTAACAGATCCCATCCATTGAATTTGATCAACCAGCCCACAGTAAAATAGCCTGACGTCGTATGGCCCAGCGTCGCCTGCCAATACGCGAAAAAAATTTACACCACCCGGACGCGGAGCGCGCCGGAACCGTCCGTATCTGTCCCGTGTGTCTAAATCAGCCTACGGTCGAACGGCCACGCGTAGTACGACGATAAATTTTGGAACAGAACTATGCTATCTGAAACCTAACCCCAGATGATGTGAGCTAAAAGTTACGTAATTTAGCAAAGCTGTGGAAGTCGCTCGTCGAAGGATGATTGATTTTGGAACAGAACTATGCTTTCTGAAACCTAATGCCGGATGTTGTGAGCTAAAAGTGACCGTCTGGTGGTGCACGGCAGGATGTAACACTTCAAGCCGTCTGTATCTAGGCCGTGGGTCGAAACAGCCTTCGGTCGAACGGCCACTTGTCGAAGGACGATAAATTTTAGAACAGAACTATGCTATCTGAAACCTAACCTCAGATGCGGTGAACGTAAAATTACATAATGTAACGATGCCCGGAAGTCAGATTCGATCCGCGGCCTGGTGGTGCACGGCAGGTGGTGGTCAGGGCTGGAGGAGGACAAAGCCGAGAGGTGCACGGCTGATTGGTGGATATCCGGAGAAATCCAAGGCGTCCGATTCAGGGCTTATTGGTGCACAAAATTGGTGGTGCACGGCTGCGCTCCCGCTGATTGGTGGTCATCCGGAAATGTGCTAGGCGTTCCTTTCAAGGCTGATGGTGCACAAATTTGATGGTGCACGGCTGCGTACCCAGGGCAAGGAGTTCTTGAGATTAGCGCATGATCCCCATAAGCCATAACAGTAAACAAGAATAAATACCTGCTCATAACGGATCCACATGTTCACTATAAATCCCGGCATTTCAACAAAGCATTCAAATTTCAAGACTTTTTCAACACCGCAATTTCAACATAAACACATTTTATTCCTTGACAGCAATGACTTGTGTTGTTGCTAATGGCTGATTCGTGGGTGTATATCTCCTGCACCCATCCATTCACAAATTGCTTGAAAGCTTCAAGCGTCTTTTACGCCTTGAATTCTTGCGAGGTTTATTGGCTGTCGCCAAACATCAAAATAGTTCAGTAAATCACCGCATGAAACGGGAGGCAGGCTTGCAAAATCTGCACACCACTGCTTTGCCGCCCCTTCGTAGGGATAAACATAGTTAATGTCGAACAATTTTCTTAAATACCGGTCTCTCGCTGAAGGAAGAAGTTTTTGACAATAGCTTAATCCTTCCGCTTTGCTCTTTCTTTCTCCATTGCCACCATTATCCAAACGTGTAGGAACGAGAGTGTAGGAACGGCGCGAGTGGGCAACATACATGGAACGTATGGCGAGCCTGATTGTAATAGCACCTGCGTTGTAGATCATTTCCATCAGTGTTCAAACAAACGCGCCACTCTTGCGCTTCACTTGTCGCGAACAATGGAACTTGTACACGTGTCGGTCACCAACCATCATACATGATAATTAATCGCTTCCTTCTTTCCAATTGGGTAGAAAGTTGAGAAAAATTTCCACTGCCCAGTTTCGATAATTTAATGTAATTTTGCATTTCATTTTCAATACAACTCCGTGAATACATTTGTCTCCGTTGACGATGTCGACTCAGCTCTGCCAACTTATTGTCAGATGATAATGATAATTTTGACGTTTCTGAGACTACAAACATTCAGCTAAATTTCACACTCAACAAGATGCAAGAGCTTAATTCTCATGCCGCCAATGCCAATAGGCTCTAGCTCATCAATCTACTAGAGTAACTAGACCAATGCAAGACTAAACGCACTTTACTTGTATTCACTAGAAATAGTAAAAAAAGTCTTTGTTCTTAATCTCACGTCAATTAATAAACAATAAATGGAACCATATCTCGATTACTTCGTCATACCCAATTAATTTTTCCTTGTAGATGATCATCGAATACCACAAAACCACGCAAATGGCGAAGGCCTTGCAGTTCGCGTTCCGCCCTCTGGTAGTTAGCATGAACCTGCCCACGATTCTAGGACCCAACTTTCTCGAGGAGGACTACACAATCTCTGCAATTATCTCCTCCGTAAAGAATCCTAGATTGGATACTCGAGGACTGAAGAATAACAGGTCAGAGCCAGTACCTTACCACCGCCTCTGCCTATGCCGGTAACTAATTTTCTTCTAGAATATGCAAGACTTCAGTTTTACCATTGCTACACTGGCTCAAATATTACTCGCCACATTTCGTCCATGCATAACCATAACTAAATATAACGGCAAAATTTCTCTCAACCGTGATCTTGACTCCGGCCAGGGCTTTTACTTTGAGACGAATAGCCAATCGGACACAGATTCAATTTTCCCCTTGTTTCAACATATCCCCGTCATTTGACAAACGGTTAGGGTATACGAACCGACTTACGACGACACTAAAATTCTAGATATTCCTTTAGTTACTATCAAGGAGGCACTAACTCCCGCGACGATCCCCTTCGATAATTTCCTACTCTCTGACGTAGTGACGGACCCGGGCGCCAATTTTGTAAAGTCATTTCTTATCTGGGCCACTTCATTATTTTAAACTAAAGCCAAATTAGTGACTAGCTACCCTTCTTATTTATGAGATTCCTCCCATGACGCGACCACTCTTTGCCCGACGACGACGACGCTTTCAGCCACGACTAGCCGCAAGGCACTACTTGTAGAAGTGACTGTGCCTGGCCAGCACCTCACCCTAGTGCCGTTCAGGAGTGCGGGGATCTGTCGCCTCTTCATGACAGATGTGACTNAGATACTTACTTGCATACTATAGTTGATACTTACTTGCATACTATAGTTGATACTTACTTGCATACTATAGTTGATACTTACTTGCATACTATAGTTGATACTTACTTGCATACTATAGTTGATACTTACTTGCATACTATAGTTGATACTTACTTGCATACTATAGTTGATACTTACTTGCATACTATAGTTGATACTTACTTGCATACTATAGTTGATACTTACTTGCATACTATAGTTGATACTTACTTGCATACTATAGTTGATACTTACTTGCATACTATAGTTGATACTTACTTGCATACTATAGTTGATACTTACTTGCATACTATAGTTGATACTTACTTGCATACTATAGTTGATACTTACTTGCATACTATAGTTGATACTTACTTGCATACTATAGTTGATACTTACTTGCATACTATAGTTGATACTTACTTGCATACTATAGTTGATACTTACTTGCATACTATAGTTGATACTTACTTGCATACTATAGTTGATACTTACTTACATACTATAGTTGAAACTTACTTGCATACTTATTGAAATTTTCACTTTCACTTATTGCGCCGTTAATAACGCTATACACGTTAAGTTAAGAAATTTCCTTAAATCTCAATAAGTTTTGCCGTAAGCTAATTATGCATTTTATTTAACCTTCAGGAAAAATTTCTCCCCACAACTATCCGAGCAATCAACTTGTTGGAAATATTTCAAATGTGTAATGGCCTAGCTGTTTGACATTGTTGAATTCGCAGACGCGTTATGCAATGTGGATCCTGAAGACAGACGCTCAACTAGCTGACTAACAAAGTTCCAGCTATTATGCACAAAAGCTTTATGATAACCCGAACTATCGCCTTAGCAGACCTTCATGCGATTTCGAAACTATTCAGAAGAGATTATCTATCCGAACTTTCTAACTCATACCGTCTATCTGATATGGAGAAACTAAATTGTCTATCTAATCTTGAAAAATTGTTTGAACTATCGCCCTAGCAAGCATTCGTGCAATCTCTGAACTATCGATTGTAACAAAAGATTATCACAAGACTGTCTGACCCGTACCGGTATCTAATATGAAGAAATGCCGCCAATCTGATCTGTCAGATACCCTATCTAAAATTAGCGTCTATCACCCTGGCATGCTTCATGAAAACTCGGAACTATCAAAGGCACAAATCATACGACTTTCATCATGCATGCAAATCGCCAAAATTGTGGAAATCCTAGTCGAAACCGCCTGTAAAAACGCAACAATTTTATTGGAACTGCACTTCCGGCAAGTAAAATTGTTCATGTAAGACGCTATACAATCCATAATTTATGCCATTGAAGATTCTACCTCTAATTAAGGCTGAAGTTAGGCTGAAAACAACATTCTTTCATATTTATTTTCAATGAAATACATACAAAATCGTATGTTAGCAGATCTAAAAAATCGCCAATATACCAACCACTTCAAAATAACAGCAACAAAATGGAAGGCTTCAATTATTCAACATTAAAAGCATGAGGTAAAAATTACCTCGTATCGCATTTTAAAATTAGCATAAATACATACGGTTCATCATTTCCACCAAATTTTATGATTCAAGGAACGGCTGACGACAAAGAGGCAAAAAAAAGCAAGTTACAACAAGAGACGAGTGAAAATTCTCTCTCTCTCTCTCTCTAAATTCTCTGAATTTAAGAAGTACGATAATTGCAAATACTTCATGAAAACGCATTGACAAAATGTTAACTTTTCTATGCATATTGAAACTTCTTCCACACGTCTATTAAGAAAAGATTGAACTTACAAAGACTATGAGGCCTGTGCTATCGACGGCTTTGTAACCTCATAAACGTNTTGGTGAAATTCTTCAAGCGGTCTACGAACACGTAAGAATTGTCTACCGTATATTGGTTGGTTGTCAAACAGTTCAACACTGGGACCAAAAATTTAGCAAGCTTGAAACTCGGTGTGTTGTAAGCAGCAAAAATGGGTCTAAACTGAAATTTCGAAGCGAAATCTGGCTTATGAATCTTAGGCAAGCCATACAAAATACCTGGGCAAGAGCCAGAGGCATAAAGTTTCAAATAAGTTTCAGAAGAAAGTGCAGCGGAATCTTTAAGTTTTCTCAAAAAATTATTAATTTTATCCTCAATCTTCAAAATAGTTTTGAAAGCCGTCGATAGCACAGGTAAATATATAAATGTAAAAATCAGACGAAGCCTGTCTCACACACCCCTGAGCTTGTAAGCACCTCAAGCTGCTTTGACAGGATCTTCATGTGCTCCTGCCATTATAAAATTCGAAGTATGCTTCAGCCGTCGCCCCAAACTGATATGATCCCGTAATGGTTATTCTGGGTCAATTGGCTAAAAAATCGCAATCACCAGCTAATCAATTGTCCTTCTGCTAGCTGTTTGATTTGAAGGCAGGAATGCAGACCGAAAAGAGGACATAGGGGAGCCAGTGAACTTTGCTCCCCAACTCCTAGGCGTTACTTAATCCACAGCCGCCATCGGCTATAAATTTTGTTAGGGTGGGCGCCATTGCAGTACGCCTCCAGGATCAGGCTGAACCTGATGAATACGGCCGGTACGTGCATCTCAGACCTGCACAAATACGAGGTATTAAGTATATTATAGTAAAAAGAATTTGGAATAGTACAAAATAGTGAGCGAAATTGAAAATAATACGTGAAAGAGCGTGAATTAGGTATAGTACCGAGCGAAGGAGCGCGAATTTAAATAGTACAAAGGGAGTCAAAATTGGGTATACTACAAAGTAAAGGAGTCGGAATTGCGTATAAAACAAAGGAAACAGCAGGAATTGAGTATAATACAAAGTAAGGGAGCGAAAACTGCAAATAGAACAGTGACAGACGTAAATAGTAGATAGTACAAAGTAAGCGAGCGGAAATTGATTACCAAGAAATTGCCAGATAATAGTACAATAACACGCAGACAAATGTATTTTAATATGATATTATTTTTTATTCACTAGAAAATCTGTGAAACACTTTATAATCTTTTTGTTCCTCGATCAATATTACATTCCTTCGTAAATTATCAAATTCCTAATAACTACCTAAACTCTGGAGCTCCAGTCAACACAATCCAGCAGCCTGGGAAAAAAGCCGTTAATTAAATATTAGTTCATAATCTCCAAATAATTAATCTCAACCTGAATTCTGGAGTTCCAGTCAACACAATCCAGCAGTCTAGACAGGATGCTGAGCATCTCAACGGCGCAGTGCCATCAAAAACTCCAGAGTCTCTTTCTGTCTTGCTCGCAGATCTCCATGTCGGGGTCGCACAAAGGGCTCTTAGCGATCTTCATCAGGAACAAACGATCCTTTTTCGTTACGATTTCCTGCAAGGTTTGAAATTGCGTCATTCAATCTTATAGGTAACACTAATGCAGGTATTAATAAAAATTATCCTAAATTATACATGTATTACGAACAAATAAAACTATTTTAAAAAATAATCTTGAATTAGATAAGTATTAGGTATAAATGTATTTATATAAATACAATTACGTTTTATAGGTATCAAAAACGACTGCAAGTATGGCTATAAATTATCTATAGTGCTATGACTAGCCTGCATTAAATAAAAAAAATGTATCCCCGTATATTCAATAAATGACCTACTCCCGTAGGCTGCTCATTATTTATAAGCAATAACTCAAGAACCAGCACTTTACTTCGTGCATCAATAAAAGTCAAATCAAAATGTAATATTAATCCTATTTAATATGTTGCGAATGTATAGGTAGATATTTTTCAAACATCATGTGTGTTTTTCATTAGCTTCACTCAACTATATCTAATGTCATCTAATTTAACTATATTTATGACGAATTACATGAAATATTAGAATTAACATAAAATTATTTTATATTACAGGTTTTTATCAATATTAGAAAATATTGTATTCGTCAAGACTCGTATAGTTTCCTGTGTGTAGAGTATAATACCAAACGTCGCTCACCGGTTGCTTGAGTTGCATGTTAGCTTCCTCCATAAGGAAGCTCTGTGCTGGGTACATCAGGTCGCATTCCGGGTGATAGCGAGAGAACGTCAGAGTTATGGCCGAGGCAGCCTCGTGGTCAGGGTTGCTTACCACCGTACCTGCACGCAAATAAATTATATATTAAAAAAAACACACGCAGCCTTGTATTAAAAGCCTTCTCAGGCACTTCCTACGGACATTTCATGCCTTTTCCATAACGCTCCATGACCATCAATATAATTTTCCAACATTTTTATACAACAGATTTAGCATGACTGAAAGAATAACCTTGTATATCCTATCATCTCTCATAGTTAATAAATATCAAACGTGCAAATGCATAATGGAGCATTCTGAGCAGACGAAAAAAAAATTACATAAATCTGAAAATCAAACCCACACTGGTATTATTATTAATTCAATTATGTCAAATCACAACAAATATTGAATAATGCACACATGATTGTACATGATAGAATCAATATGATTCAGAATAATCTACAACACCACTACCCCAACATTCAACTGACACCTATTTCCTAAACTTTTTCTTTTATGTTCAGTTCACGGTTCAAGAACACCGAAAGTCAACACATCACGAACGAGGTGAAGGTCTCAATTATCGAAAGTTTCTTATATCAACAAATGTTCATTCCCCACAAGAAGCAGACAGTCTCAATTGTCCAGCCCGCTGAAGCTGGCTCAACAGAAACACATTAACATCTCAGAGACGAAATAATAAGAAAGGATAAATGGAAAGCAACAAAAACGAAGACTCTCGAACAAGAGGTGACACGGGACGTCGGCCGCCCGCACAAGAGAGACAATAACGGAAATGTAAGGTATCCTACCTCCATAATAACTCAACACCAAAACTGAGACCTGCAGTCAAACACCGCGAGCTCAGCGGTGGGACGCCAACCCTACTAAGAACGCGAATCCCCATAGGACTTCTGACGAGCATAGACACACATCAGAAGTTCCCTCCTGAGGGGTACCAGGTGGCCCAATGGAATATCACTGCATCGTATAAAATATGCGAATTTTAATTTTATTTGTTTATCGAGATAAATTCATCATCAAGCTATACAACTCACATCCACCGTCGACATAAGTTGCAACATCAGTGAAGGAAGCGCAGTCGCGCAGCACGGGCAGCCTGCCGAAGTTCTGGTGGCAGTAAGCCACCACGTCGTCGTGCGTCCATAGTCCCCCTGAGGAGACCTCATCTGCCCATAAAAAACATCTTTCAATATATGATATAGTATAATCATTTTCATTCAATCAAATAACCGATAACAAAATATTATGCACTGAATTAATACCAAAAACCTATATTGATTGAATCAAGGCCATATCAATAATTACATAAAAATCACAACAGTTTTCAGCGATTGCCTCAAAGTATCCGCACCTAGCTCATCCGAGACTATGACGACACGGGTAACACGACACGATGAATCAACACGTCGAAACGCCGTGACAGTAACTGTGGGAGCCTGCCACAAAACCTGCACACACGCCCAAACCAAATTATTGACATAAGCACTTAAATGAAACAATTTATCGATTTTAACCATCTATTGAAACGTGAAGCGTCCAGCGGTAATAACCGTCATTCCTGAAATATGGCCATTGACCGCCTTATCACTAACATATAGTTATACAAATTCTAATCTAATTATATTTCAATCTAATCACTGGTATACATAGAGAACGTCAAGCAGGTAAAATGCTTGCAACTATTGAAATGAATTGAAAACAATAACTGAATAAAAAATCGTTATTCAATTAACGAACTTATTAATGCCTGAAAACACTGCAGCCGTCTAAATACGATCCGACAATCATACAAGTATAGCACAACTATATTTACTAATTTCCAAAACATATAAAAATAATTCAGCCTGCAGAGCAATATACAGCTAATAATAAATAGGAATTACGGCCTGCGGCCGAACAATCTAGTTCCCAGTGGCAGTAGTGTTAATGTCGGGGGCGCCATAGCCTCGCAAGCGACGCTCTGGCGCCTAACTTTCAGTAGTAAACTGGAGCATTCCGCCACAACCCGCAGCAGTCCCCGCGCCAACCAGTCGCCATGGTGAGCAGACTCCAACAAGATTGCCGCCGCTGCAACTGGAAGCATAGGATCGCATTAATTCTCACTCTGGTGAATAAAATAGCAATGTTTGCACGCAAAACACACTGAGAGTAACAAATATATGCAAAATTGCAAGTTTCTTCATATTGAAAATTACCTCGCTGAAGTGCCGTTGTGAGTAGTCGACCTTCGCATCCTCGCTTAGGCGCCTGACATTACCCCATTACGTTGCCCAAATAATCACAGAGGTCATGATTCGGCTTAATAACCGATCATCTGTTTTGAGACGGCACTCAAATTTGAATCGTAGATGACTTTTTTATATTTATTACTCCTCGACAGGATCATTTGACATAGATTTAGACTAGCATGATCGAACCGCGATAGCTCATGATTACAAGAAACAGCAATACAAACAAAATTACTTTCTTTGTCAAAAATTACTTTCTTTGTCATGTCGTATGATGTTCAAAGGAAAATGACTATATGCGCGACAAATAATCAAATGCAAAACGTGTGAACGCACAAGTATTGGAGCAATAAGTATTCTATACCTCTAGCAATACAAACAAAAGAAGTTGCAAAAAACAATTTTCCAGAACAACTCTTTTTAGTTATATCTATCCCCTCTTAAAATCCGATCAAGTTTAACCGCATGATTTTGTAACCAGTCCTTGAATCGTCCACGAAAACTACTACCGAAGAACGAATTTCTTATACGCGAATCATTTCATCAACACGAGTAAAATCTATCATTTATTGACATTTTAAGCTGAAACTACTATCGGCCAAGACGATTCATCCTGAAACATCTCTTTCGTAGTGAAAGAGAATCAATGTTTATCTATAACGTTAAAAAGGAACGAATCACGACAAATTTTTGTCTAGAATATATTTAATTTCGCAATCAAGCGTTCGACCACAAATGATAAAATACATATTTTAATTTTATTCAAATTCCCTAATCTCGAATACGAACAATGGAGTATTTGAACTATCACATTTTTCAAATTTTAGACCGAAAACGACTCCTATTTAAACCAGATTCATTAAAAGAACATTAGGACTATTAATAGAAATAAACAATTACCATGATTAACTTAAATGCATTTATCCGAGTCATATGTTTGAACTATCACAGCTATCTTCAATTCGCAAATGGAAAATGTAACTAGCGTTCAAAAGAAAACAAACAATTTAACTTGTCGAACTTCGAATTCTGAGCTAATAAACGACATATCGTATAATACGCTAGGCTACAGGCAACAGTAGCTACTCGTGTCAAGACACAACAGTTACATCGGAGTTAATTATGATCTTCAGAAATGAAACTAAAACATAAAAAATTCCTCAAAATTTATGAACAAACAGTTTAATTTCCTATGTACATTGAAATTTAAACGAATACTCCACATTGACTCTCATCACACTGACGCTCATCACGCTGACGCTCATAACACTCACGCTCATCACACTCACACTCATCACACTCACGCTCATCACGCTGACGCTCATCACGCTGACGCTCATCACACTCACGCTCATCACACTCACGCTCGTCACACTCACGCTCATCACGCTGACGCTCATCGCGCTGACGCTCATCACACTCACGCTCATCACACTCACGCTCATCACACTCACGCTCATCACACTCACGCTCATCACACTCACGCTCATCACACTCACGCTCATCACACTCACGCTCATCACACTCACGCTCATCACACTCACGCTCATCACACTCACGCTCATCACACTCACGCTCATCACACTCACGCTCATCACACTCACGCTCATCACACTCACGCTCATCACACTCACGCTCATCACACTCACGCTCATCACACTCACGCTCATCACACTCACGCTCATCACACTCACGCTCATCACACTCACGCTCATCACACTCACGCTCATCACACTCACGCTCATCACACTCACGCTCATCAGACTCACGCTCATCACACTCACGCTCATCACACTCACGCTCACCACACTCACGCTGACAACACTCACGCTCATCACACTCACGCTGATCACACTCACTACACTCTCTCTGTGTAGTTACGTCACGGAGGTCACTTATTGCGTCACTAGTTACTACGTAATCGTAATTACATCAATTAACGTAATCAATGAAATTGAGATAAATCAATTTTATTGAGAAGAGAACATCATTGAATAAGCCATATTGAAACAGAACAGTTACTTTGTGGCGACAAAAAATAAATACATACATTATAATTTTTTTAACCAGGATCTAGAGATGCTATACCGCATTACTAGTGATTGCAGGCGCGTGCCGCTCCAATGGCACGTGTCGGAGCGGATCGGGAATAAAAGTATGTATAATCGAAAACAAGAATCGAAATCGAAGTATAATCGAAATCGATTCGAAAAATCGAAGTATAATCGAAAACAAGATAAAAATATAACTTGCACACTCAAAAATCAATTAATTCCAAATCAAAATTCAGATGTTTGTAAAAAAGTAATAGCTCCTATACAAAAACACAACAAAACATATCAAGAAATATAAAAGAAGAGAAATTATTTCAAAGTATTTATAAACTTTAGTTAACAAATATTGGATAATACCTGACCAAATTAATACCTATTAAAGGAATAATTCTGGTAAATAAATACAACGAAATAGAAAATAGACGAAATAAAAAATATATAAATAAACGTCACAACAATCAAATTAACGTTATTTTGTAAAATCAATTAATTTGAATAATATCAAACAAGATATTAAACCTATTCAAATTATGGACTACCAGTCAGTCGAAAATTTCTTAGAAATGAAATAGAAGATATTCCGATCACAAAATGTAATGATTATATTTGCTACAAAACACTAAACTGTTGATTCGAGCGACATTCATCAACACGATAGCATACAAATATGTATATAAACGTTCACAATCATTATAAGACTTATTTTCAAACTTATTTCTGCTTGTCATACACTCGTGCCATATTATAGACAAAAATATGTTCTTAATCAAGAAAATGCAATAGCACAATACAAATACAAACATTGCCGCGCTAAACACTTCTCATTTTCTCATAATAACACAAATCTCAGAATACGACAGACAATATATTGTTCCTTAGTCTGAGATATTCTCTATCTCGATGAGAAATACAAACTAAAGACGCGGCAAAAATTCATTTTTACGTCTGACATTCATGACATATCAAATATTTCCTTACGGTCGCACGCTGTCAACATTGGTCACAGAATATACTAAGTATAAAACGCATTACAAGTTGTCATCTGAATGACTGTAGCGTTAATTCCCTCAATTTATCACAAAATGATTGCAAACAAAAACCTTTAATATCAACAAAATCAACTGCGATGAAGCCTCAGTACTATCTTGATGAAGCCTCAATACTAAACAAATGTAAGCTTCAAGTTACGTTGCTAACCATTCAATGCATGTTTGCCTAGAGTAATAACACTCGGTTGACTACAGACTGATTCATACTTTAGTCGCTATCCGACTCAGACGACCGTGCAACACCAAAATGCCTCAGAGGCAAACGCCGCTCTGGCCGATCTAAACAAGCTCCACTGGATCCCGCCTCTTCAAGCACTCCAGAAACTCGGGAGGCTAACTCCTGTCGCGTGAACTCGGGTGGACCGGGGCCTTTCCTCAGTTCAACGGACCGAGTAAGGGCCAGGGCGAGATCGCTGGCTTCTGAACGAGACAAAACCTCGCGAACCCTAGACGAGACCCCACCAAGAACAAGTTCAGGAACAAACCGAACACAAGAAGAGTTGCTTCCTGAAGACGGCGGAAGCGCAACAACAGGGTTAGTTGCAATTGCCTGATCAGGAAGTGAGCTCTGTGGTACATTCCGTTCCTGCCCGACGTCCATAGAAAGTTGACGAAACGGGACATCTGGTAACACGCTGGGCAAGAAGGCATTAATTTGAGGAGTTACATTCACAATTGCAGCTACGGGATTCCGAACCCGGACTGAACGCGCAATGTCGCTGCGAGATGCACGAACGTTATCAACATTCGTGAATGTACAGCAGTGCTTTAGCACAAGATTTCCTTCATCCCTCGCTCTCCAACGCGCATGCTCCAGTACTAGGTTGTCTAGAAGTAAACGTGCCGTTAACGATGCCTGTGGCAACGTCTGACTTCTTTGAAGCCAATCAAGGCGGAACAATTCCCTCTGATTTCTATTTACCTCATCAGTTCCGAGCCCTACAAAACCTGTGACAAAACTCATAGTCACCCAAGGTATTCCTGCTCTCAAATCGGGATCACATACATTACTATTAAATCTGTACAGTTCCTTCCGAATAGATTCGCATTCTCCGACCTTGAAAAGATTCGGAAATTTTGAGCTTACAAACAAGTACACGAAACCGGCTTCGAGCGATGGGACCTCACACACTGATGGCTGCAGGAAAGGAACCTCAGGAGAAATTACCCTAGGCGAATCGTGCAGCACGTCCAACTGAGATAACAAATGGTCCACATGAGCAGCACGACTGTCGTCGATACGCAACAATTCTTCCACAGCGACTAAAGTGTCTTCAACTGACCCAACAAACGAGATACAGGCGAGCTCCTCCACTCGAGACAAAACCGTCAACAACTGCTCTCGCTGCCACAGACTGTGCTTCGTGTCGGTGGAACTGATCTTGGTAGCGAGACGAGGCAAGGTATCTCCCAAAACCTTGTGGATCGTAACACAAACATAGTGGCGTAGAGGCCACTGCTCACGCTTAGCTCGAGTCATGACATTGCCAACCACAGTAGGATTCGACACATGTCGAGCAAGTGAAACGCGCTCCCACGCATCAGGAATGTCTGCAACGTCCATCAGACGTTGACCTGCCGGCATTAAGCGACCTGTGATGCGCTGAAGATTCCGGGGAAGATTGTCATCCGCTAGCTGAGTGATCACAAGCAGCTGACCTTGGCTAAACCTAGGAAGGTCTCTGCGAGCGTGCAAATTGTTGAAGGTAACTCGCATTACAGCCCCAACAAACAAGGTTAGCTCCCGGGCTTCACGCAAATAACGATCCAGCTGTGCCGAGACTCGAGCATCGGCAACGGCCCAGGTGCCAGCTGAAGACTCGACAGTGTCCTCCGAGACGTAAGTTTTATGCACCAAATCAGGGTTGTTGGTCTTCAGTAACAGGTAACGCTCGACAGCCTCACGTTCTGCTACTCGCTTGCTCACAACGCGGATCACGTCGTCAGGAACATGGTCCCACGAGGGCACAAATCTCTGCACACTAATCACGTTCAAAACACTCGCAATCTCGTCTTCGCTCAGCACACTCTTTCGGATGAGAGAGATGACGCGCTGCAATTCGACATCTCGTCGACTGCGAACGTAATGGTGCAGGTTGAGAACACTGAACACAGTTACCAACTGAGCACTGAGCCAGATACCACTGCCCTCGACCGGTGGCAATTGGCGCGGATCACCAGAAGCAATCATGAGGATGCCGCCAAAAGGCACGGGATTCTCACGGATCCGTCGTAACACTATGTCCAGGACTACAAACAGATTGGATGGCAGCAATCCAATTTCTTCGAAGATAAGAACATCCAATCGTTTCAAGAAAGCCATGCGCACCAAATTGCGGCTCAATTTCAGCAGGCACTTGTCAGCAGTGATGTTTGGCGTTTCCAAAACGCATTTGTTGACATCAATTCCGAAAAGAAGGTGAATGTGTTCACCGCCCAACATGCGTGCACGTTCGGACGTCACTGCGACGACGATAGTCTTCAGGCCCTTTGAGAGAGCGTACACGCAAGCCGTCAATAGTATATGCGTTTTTCCAGCACCCGGAGGACCGATGAGCAGCGGAAAACGCACAAAAGTATCCACCAGATTAACAAAACCATCAACGGCACTCTTCAAGTGATCAAGAGCATTCACCTGCTCCCGGAATGAATCCTCGCTCTGGCCGTCAATACGTCTCAGCTGAGGATTGTACAATACGGGTTGACCCGCACGCAAAGCATCGGCATCAGGAAAAGAAGGCAAACCCATGTCTGCCAAAGCGTCCACGAGATTCACACGGAAACTACTCTCAATGGCCGACAACTTTTCAACAGCGTTCTCCTTGATGCTGCGATACGTGCCAAGAGGCATTGACTCGAACGGAACAACACCAGTCCTGACCAACTCCTTCAATTTGTCCATGACGACTGCAGCCAAACGAGAAAACTCGCGAGCGCCAACAGAAAAGAAGATGAGTTGATCTTTCGCATAGCGCGAAGCCAAGGCAACGGCGTCAGCCTCGGTCGGTGCATTAGCATCTGGAAACAGCCCGACAAGCTGAAGAGCATGCAGTCTACTAGGACAAGAATAG